TGTTTCACGGCCTGAGCAGCTTGGTACGGCTACACATGGACCACAATCAAATTGAATTTGTGAATCCCAATGTTTTCTATGGACTCACTTCCTTAAGGCTGGTCCACTTGGAAGGAAACTTACTTCAGCAGCTGCATGCAGACACTTTTGTCACCTTGCGCTATAGCCAAATATTCAAAGTATCCTCCCTGAAGCACATCTCTCTGTCTGACAATGGGCTGACTTCACTCCCACAAGAAATGTTTTCTTACCTGTCCGAGCTCGAGAGCATTTACCTTCATGGAAACCCCTGGTCCTGCGACTGCAGCCTGCAGTGGTTTGCAGAGTGGGCACAGGAGAGACCAGGTGAGCTGAATGCCTTGTTTATGCTCTTTAATCCTGTTGTAGCATCTTATTCTTCCTGATACAGGTAATTGTCCTTTATTCATTTATTTATTCTCCCAGAAAAGACTGGAAGGTAGGTTTTTTGTAGGTGTGTGTAATCAGGCTAAAGAGATTAATACCACTCAGCTTCCCAGATGAAATGAATCTAGTGGTCTTAGCCTGTTCTGAAGTGCAGCTTTCCTTAATAGAACATTTTACTTGGCCAGTCCAAAGCTTCTCTGCACCAGGAAAATCCACAGGGAATAGAGAAGCTAACTTGTGTAAGGAACTGGCAAGAGTGAGGACCACATTGCACTCAATTTGAGAGACTCAAGGACTTCCTCTGTTGCTGCTATTCATATGTTACTCTAAGATTTGGGTTTATGTTATTTAAAAGAACCACTTGTTGGTAGCTATGTCATTTTTAATACTAAAACTCATAGCACAGAGAGCTGACTGCAGTTTTCTTCCCTTCAGATGTTATAAAGTGCAGAAAAGACAGAAGTTCTGGTGTCCAGCAATGCCCAGTCTGTGCCAGTCCCAAAAATCATAATGGGAAAAGCTTTGTGGATCTTCCTTCTGCATCTCTCACTTGCACTAAGCCAGCAATACACTACTCCCTGAAATCCATAAACCTTACAGTGCCAGACGATGGGGATTTCAGTTCTGTGTCTCCCAAGGATTTCATAGCTCCAGTAGGGTTTGTGGTTTTGAACATGACTGACCAAGCAGGAAATCGAGGCAACTTGGTTTGCAATGTCCAAAAGCCTAAAGAAATGTCTCCTGTCTCATTTGACCAAGACAGCAGCAGAATGGTGCTCAGAAACTCATTCTCAGCATTCCTGGTGTGTGGCATTGATTATGGACACATCCAGCAGCTGTGGAGCATCCTGGCACTGTACAGCAACTCTCCCTTAAAACTGGAGCAGACTGTCCAGGCAACTGATGTGCCTTTTGTTAGTTACAAATATAAACAGATATATGCTGAAAAAGATGAACTTTTCACCAATGTTGAGGCTGAGCTGAGAGCTGACCCAGCCTGGCTGATGCAGAGCAAAGTGTCCCTGCAGCTGGACAGGACAGCCACCACACTCAGCACCCTGCACATCCAGTACTCCATAGATGCCCAGCTCAGCCTGCCTAGTGCTGACAACAACCAGGTGAGGAACAACTGGGCCATCATCTCCAGGGACAGCAGCACCCAGACGGAGCACACCGTGTTAGTCGGGGGCACCGTGGAGCTGGGGTGCCAGGCAGCTGGGCAGCCAGCTCCTGCTGTGGAGTGGATATTGGCTGATGGGAGCAAAGTGAGAGCTCCTCATATCAGTGAGGATGGGAGAATCATTGTTCTTAAAACCGGAACGCTGACCTTGCGCACGGCTGACGCGTTTGACACGGGGCTCTACCACTGCATCAGCACAAACGGCAATGATGCTGATGCTCTCACGTTCAGAATCACAGTGGTTGACCCTCACGTGGAGCACAGCAGTGTAAATGGAGCCCAGCTGTCCACAGCTGTTGGCAGCACACTCTACCTGCCCTGTACATCCACAGCTGCTCCAGATGCTGCCGTTAGCTGGGTGCTACCTGAGCATGTGGTCCTCCGTCAGTCTGCAGGAAACAAACATATTTTTGACAATGGCACCTTGAGAATCCAAGGGGTGACAGAGAGAGACAGTGGCTACTTCCGATGCATCACAGCCAACCAGTATGGTGTCGACCTTTTGGTTTTCCAAGTGCTAGTGAGACGGGATGGAACCACTCCAGAGAAAAAGCACAGAGCTGTGGAAGATTGGGAAGAGGGTGACGGCTCTGGCAATGCACTGCTGGGCTCTGCTGCAGCACAGACACATCTCTCAGCTACTCCAGCCACCTTGACAGCTCAGCTGGAATCTGCTGCCTCAGCAGCCAGCAGCCAGAGCACACAGAGCGCACGTCAAAGGAGCAGTCAGAGGAAAATGCCTCACAGGCCCTACAGGGACAGAGCAGGCAGGCGGTTCAGGGGACACAGGAGACAGTTTGTTTCCTCAGCCCGGAGAGTCGACCCACAGCGCTGGGCAGCTTTGTTGGAGAAAACAAAGAGGAACTCAACAGTGACAGACAAACAAGGGAAAGTTGCAATGAAACCCCCCAGTCGTGTCAGTAAGTTCTCAGAGGTACCTGGGGATGTGGAGGAGACATCTGGTGATCTCATATCACCAGAAGAAGAATTCATGATTCCAGTAACAGAGAAAGCCCCACTACCTTCTCAGGGGAGAGCAATGGAAAGTGTGATCACTGCAGGGCCTGAGGGGGCCACAAGTCACACTGCTGCCACGAAAACCTCCCTCCTGGCTGCAGAGACAATAACTCCCCTACCCTCTCCTCTTCCACAGTCTGTGTCACCTGCCAGCAGGCGGCCACAAACATATCTGAAACCTACAGACTCATGGGAAAGATCTGATTTGAGTCAAACATCAGCAAATGATGTAAAAGAATCAACCGTATCAACTGGTGCAAGTGGAACATCCACACTCTTCCCTGCCAGGCAAATGCTGGTGTATTCTGGGAAAAGTAATAATCAGCAACTAAACTCTGCGTCCACGACAGAAGCTACAGACACCAGCGGGGCTGTAACTCCCCAAAATTCAGCAGACAAGCTACATGTTTTTACTGAATCTATTGATAATGTTTCCACCCAAACAGATCACCAGGTCCCTGTGGTGACAGTCAGTGCAACAAGCCCTGAATTGGGTCCCATTTATTTTCACAGTGCTCAGAAAGGAGGAACTCCTAAGCCACCACTGGCCTTGACTATCACTACTCATCAGCAAATTCAGGTTATTCAGGAAGTTCCAACTCATACAACCCAGATCCAGCAGCAATACGGAAGACGAAGGAAAACTTATGGCAGGAGACGAGTTGTTAGACCAGGACATATTCCAGGTAGGAGAGAGCACCGATACAACTTTGGGAGGCCAGGGTCTGCCAGAGGAAGTACAGCGGTGGCTGCAGGTGCTCAACTGAATATGAAGTACCTATCAAGTGTACCAACTTCAAATAATTTAAGCAGCTCCATCAATCCATTTAGACAAGAAGCACCCCTGTCCTCCCCACCAACCATGAACATGCCATTGGAGCACCCCATGGGTACCCACCAAAACACAGCATTCCTCAGGGAAGAGGAAAACAAACATAGTGCAAGGCAAAAAGCTGCCACCCCAGTCATGTCTGTCACTGCAAAGGGCACTGCCACTACTGCAACCAAAGGAATGAAGCTGACAGTTACATCTGCTACTGCTCCTCAACCTGACACCAGACTCACTAAAGGTAAAATATTCAGAGTGGGAGGAAGGAGAGGTCAGAGAAGAAAGAGGCCTCCCAAAACACCTGCCCTGCAGAGTGTGGCTGTAGGCCACAGCACTGCAGCCACCCCCATGGTGAGCACAGCCACCTCCATGGTAACAGCAGTTACATCCCCAGCTGTGCTTCTAAAACTTACACCTGCAAAATCTCTCCCTGGGAGTGTCAGCATGGTCTCTGTGACTGAAATGCCAGTGCTGTGGATCCCTGACACCCCAGAGGCACTTCAGCACGTATCCATGGCAGTCACACAGTTGGCCCCAGTCACACTGAGGAACATCCAGTCAGCCACATCACCGCCTGGCAGTCCTGCTCAGAGTCCCACTATGGCTCTCCAAACCACACTGGTCACAGAGAGCAACACCCAGTTGGCCATGTCACTGCTTGGCAGTCCTGCTCAGAGTCCCACTATGGCACTCCAAACCACACTGGTCACAGAGATGAACACCCAGTCAGCCACATCATCACCCATCAGTCCTGCCCAAACCCCTACCATGGGGCTCCAAACCATACCATGGCTGGATGAGCCTCCTGGGGCCATGAGTACCCAACCTGCTGCAGTCAGTGCCACATCGAGGGCAGTAACTGCTCAGCACATCAAAGCCACCACCATGGCAGGAGAAAAATGCCTGAAAATGGGAGACAGAGTTTGCCAGGAAAACCAGGCAGCACAGTTCACACCCCCAGCAAGACCCAATTCAGCCACAGACACCACTGCTCCTGGCACTCAGCATCCCACCCCACTGCCAGCACCGAAGACAGCTGTGCCACCTGCACCTACTGCAAGAACCTATTCTCCTGCACATGAGGAGATCAGATTTCAGCTGAAGCCATCCACCAAAGTCATGGAGAGGGGCAACATGCTGACTGTCAGGACACTGACCACACCAAAGTCATCACAGATGGTGGCTCTGTGGGGAAGGGACAAGGACAGCTCTGTCAAAGGTTGGTTTGAAAGGAGACGAGACCAAGAAACCACCACCACTCCCAATCCCATCACCTTGGGCTCTGCAAGCAGAAACCATTTTGCAAAGCCCAGAATCGTTGGAGGGAAATTGGCTGCTTTCACTGTGCTGGCAAATTCCGATGCTTTTATTCCTTGTGAAGCTACTGGGAAGCCCCGTCCAACAATACAGTGGACCAAGATATCATCAGGTGAGCGTGATGAACCTCCCTAGAATTTACCTTCTGTTAGAGTCCTGTAATTTGTCAGCTGTTCTCTGTGCCAAACTCAAGCATTGCTTCACTTCAGAGCACTGTGAAATACCAGTGAAAGGTGAACTTGGAAACAGAGACAAAAACAGAGACCCTAACACTTGCTGGAGCTTCTTAGTGCTGATTCTGGGACAGCTTTTTAGGGAAATTTAAAAAAAAAAGAAATATGTAATCTCTATTTAACCTCAATTCTGTGCTTATTGTGAGAAGAGTTCAATATTTATTGTGTTACCTGCTATTCCAAAACAGTGAGACAAGTGAAAAGAAAGATCCATGGTGACAGACCCTCAAATCTGGTTACAGGTGTGCCAGGTTTGGATCACAAATCTCATCTGCTTTATCTGTCTCTACTGGGGACTCAGCTGTGTTCTCACTTTAAAGCTTTGTCACTCTATATGCAAAACACTCTGATTTCTCTCTGTCTTATCACTATAGGTTATTTGGGCAACGCAGACCAGGATGGGGAACGGGTATTCAAGGGATTGAGAAAAAAGAAACAGAGGGAGGTTCTGACATGTTGTGCTGTTGTTCCCTTTCTTCCACAGGGTCCGATGCTCTGGAAGGTAGCACCAGCAGGTGGACAGTGTTTGCCAACGGGACGCTGTCCATCACCCGGGCAGGCCTGGAGGACCGTGGGCAGTACCTGTGCACTGCAGCCAACACACACGGCGTGGCACGGCTCCTGGTCACACTGTAAGTGGTGGCTTACCCACCACGCATCCCCGCCACCGCTTCCTCTGGGAAGCCTGTGGCAGTGGCGTGCAAGGCCACGGGCAGGCCCCCTCCCACTGTCTCCTGGGTTCTAGCAAATAAAACCCACCTCTCCCCAGCTGCCACAGGGAATGACAAAGTTCACATGGAACCAGACGGCACTTTGGTTATCCATGAAGTTACTGTTTATGACAGAGGTCTCTACACATGCCTGGCCAAAAACCCTGCAGGCACCGACACACTAACTGTGAAGCTGCAGGTTGTTGCGGCACCTCCTGCCATCCTGGAGGAGAAGAGACAACGTGTGGAAGGAAATACGGGAGAAAGCCTGAAACTGCCTTGCACTGTGCAAGGGAACCCTCAGCCCACTGTCCACTGGGTCCTCCCTGACGGCACAGAGGTAAAGCCTCTGCAGCTGGTACACATGAGGCTGTTCCTGTTCTCCAACGGCACTCTCCACTTCAGCAGCATCATCCCTTCTGACAGTGGGAACTATGAGTGCATAGCCACGAGCTCCACTGGCTCAGACAGGAGGGTGGTCAGCCTCGTGGTGGAGCACAGGGAAACGCTTCCAAAAATAGCCATCGCCTCTCGAGAACTGACTCAGTTGAATTTTGGGGATAAGTTGCTTCTGAACTGCACAGCAACTGGAGAGCCCAAGCCCAGGATCATCTGGAGGTTGCCCTCCAAGGCTGTTGTGGACCAGTGGCACAGGTATGAGTCTTTTTTTTTCCTCCACCTCTTTGAATCTTCAAACACTGCTCCTCTGGTGCTTAATAAGTGCTCAGTATTCACTCCCAGCACTTGATTCCATAATTCTTTACTTCTCTCTCCCCCCACAACAGGATGGGAAGTCGGATCCATGTCTACCCTAATGGATCCTTGGCTATTGAGGCAGTTACAGAAAAGGATGCGGGTGACTATCTGTGTGTTGCAAGAAACAGCATTGGGGATGATCTGATCCTGATGAAAGTCAGCATCACAATGAAACCAGCCAAGATTGACCACAAACAGCACTTCAAGAAACTAGTGCCATATGGCAAGGATTTCAGAGTGGACTGCAAGGCCTCGGGATTACCCACACCAGAAATATCCTGGGGTTTGCCAGATGGGACAGTGGTTAACAACGTGATGTTGGCAGATGACACTGGGCGCAGGTCTCGCAGGTATGTCCTCTTTGACAATGGAACGCTCTACCTCAACAAAGCTGGAGTGACAGAAGGAGGAGATTACACTTGCTATGCCCAAAACACTTTGGGAAGAGATGAGATGACTATCCACGTTACAGTCATCATGGCAGCCCCTCAGATAAAGCACAATTACAAGACATACCTTGCAGTGGCAGCTGGAGACACAGCACTGCTGGACTGTGAAGCTGCTGGAGAGCCCAGGCCACAGATATTTTGGTTGCTGCCTTCCAGTGAGATGATCTCCTCATCCACAGACAGACACTCCCTGCACACCAATGGCTCTCTCTCCATCAGCCACATCAGGCTTCTGGATGCTGGGGAGTACATGTGTGTGGCTCGGAACCCTGGCGGGGATGACACCAAACTGTATAAGCTGGACGTGGCTGCTAAGCCCCCCATCATAAATGGTTTATACAGGAACAAGACAATCATGAAGGTGACAGCAGTGAGACACTCAAAGAAACACATCGACTGTCAGGCAGAAGGGACACCTCCCCCTCAGGTTATGTGGATCATGCCTGACAACATTTTCCTAACAGCCCCATATTATGGGAGCAGGATTGTGGTGCACAAAAATGGGACACTTGAGATTCGGAACATCAGGCCTTCGGACACAGCAGATTTTATCTGTGTGGCACGTAACGATGCAGGAGAGAGCATGCTGGTGGCACAGCTGGAGGTCACAGAGATGCTGCGGCGACCCATGTTCAAAAACCCATTCAACGAGAAAATAATAGCAAAACCTGGGAAAACTATCACACTGAACTGCTCTGTGGATGGAAACCCTCCCCCAGACATAAGCTGGATGCTGCCCAACGGCACATGGTTTTCCAGCAGCATCAGGACAACCCAGTTTCTCACAGGAAGCAACGGGACCCTGACCATCTACAATCCCAAGAGCGACCAAGCCGGGCGGTACCGCTGTGCTGCCCGGAACAAGGTTGGATATATTGAAAAGCTGATCATCCTGGAGCTAGCCCAGAAGCCCAATATCCTCACCCGGCCTGTGGGGCTGGTGAAGGGCATCAGTGGGGAGCCGTTGTACCTTCACTGCCTGGCTGATGGGAGCCCCAAACCCAGCACGGCGTGGACGCTGCCCGGGGGCCGCGTGCTGGACCGACCACAGCTCAGCGAGAGGTACCTGCTGCTGGAGAATGGCACCTTGGTCATCCGGGCAGTCACCACTCACGACGGAGGGAATTACATGTGTAGGGCCCACAATGATGCTGGTGACAGCTCTGTGACCATTCCTGTTGTCATCACAGCCTACCCACCACGGATCACAGGCAGGTCCCCGCCGGCTATCCATACAGGGCCAGGGACGCCAGTTCAGCTCCACTGCATGGCGCTGGGAATACCAAAGCCAGAAATTACCTGGGAATTACCTGACCACTCCATACTCTCTACAGCTCACCAGGGCCGAGGATCTAGGGGCAAGCTGCTTCACCCCACAGGGACTTTGCTCCTGCAGAATCCCCAACCCTCCGATTCTGGTGCGTACAAGTGCACGGTGAGGAACCCCTTTGGCAGCGACTTCACAGTAACATACATCCAATACCAAAGCCAGAAATTACCTGGGAATTACCTGACCACTCCATACTCTCTACAGCTCACCAGGGCCGAGGATCTAGGGGCAAGCTGCTTCACCCCACAGGGACTTTGCTCCTGCAGAATCCCCAACCCTCCGATTCTGGTGCGTACAAGTGCACGGTGAGGAACCCCTTTGGCAGCGACTTCACAGTAACATACATCCATCTGAACT